TATATGTGGAACAATTATAGCATTATACAACATAAACAGTGCTTTATCATTGAACAGTTCTCTTACTTTGTACAGTACTCCAATTGATTTGATTTGGAAAGTATAAACCTGAAACCTCATTCTTGTTTAAAGTAGGGTTTTTTTTTTGAAAGACTGACTTTCTTCACTCCTCCCTTAAACCTTTTATTGTTTTAGTCCAAAATATTAACATTTCTGCACKCATTTCTGTGAATGTTGTTTAGGTTCACATATAATGAACTTGGAGCATCTTTAAGAAACAAGAAAAAAGTCCATTCATATAYAACGATACAAATAAAAATCCTCAAGACTTCCTAAATCACGGATGACTGGGAAGCAGCATAAATATTTTTAAAATAATTGGTTACAGCAATAGAATGGTTGTTAGATAACCTTTCAGAAGAATAAAAATGCTTATTTCTCAKATAATCTTTAAGATATTTATTTGTATGACAAAGACATGAACCAAAAGAAATCTATAGCAGTGGGGATGGAACAAAGTCAGTAGAAGGAAACCGTAAAGTGCCCAAAAAATGAGTCCACTGAAGGTTAATTAAAAAACAAATTCATTGTACAAATAAGCATTTAGAAACATAAAAAACAACATGGGGAGGGAAAAAGAAACCCCAAAACAAAACAAAAAAATCTCATACCATAAGGGGAACACAGACAAAGAGAGAGACAAAGAGGAATTTTATTTGGGACTTTTTAAACACAAGTAAAAGTAATTAGAGTGAATCAGACTTTCCCAAGAGAGGGAAAACACACAAAGGGAGGAAGTGAACCCAATGAAGACTCAGAGGGTAAGTGGGTTTTCAAAATATAACWAGACTGCAAGCAGAACCCCAAGACAGAGTGAGACCAGCTGACTGACCCTTGATATGTGCTGCAGTGATGCAGGCAGACTTTTAAACTAATAACAGCTTGGAGAAGACAAATAATCCACCTCTATCCTTAAATTCAATCTGTTCAGCCTAATTTCTTCTTCTTTCTCAGTCCCACAAATGGGACTTTAATGGGACTTTTATTTGCCCCAGATGCACACCAAATGTCTTTTTTTCTTTCATAAGTAGCTTTTTCTCCTGACCACTCCTCTTGCAGCCCAGAGTGGTCCTAGGGAAAGATGTGTCCATCTGCAGAAAAGCTGTCCAGCTCTTTCAGGGTTATCTTCATTCTTTTGCTTTCTTCTCTTAATAATGRCCTCCTTGTCTGGTTTCTGAGTTTTGCTGAACAACTTTCTCCTTTCAGATTTGCTGAGATGGCATCATTTTTCTATTTTCTAATAATGGATTTAATGATGCTCCGTGGAATGTTTAGTGTTTAGGATATTTTTATGACTCAACCCTGAGCTGTACTTCTCTGCAACTTTGTCTTTTAATCATGTTGAGAGTTCTCAGGTCTTTATGCCATCTCTTGTTATTTACTTGGAAGTGTTGAACTAGTTGTTTCAGGGGCCACTGAAGATATTTGATACATAAGTTTCTCACAGGTTGATTTTGTTCAGCTAACCATGCAGCTTCTCATTGGAGCTTCAAAATACAAAGAATACTAAGGATGGGAATGATTTTACAACCCACTCTATGTTATTGTTATTACTGTCTACAACATAAAAAGTTATAAGTTTAGGCTAAAAACACTAAAATMACGTGATGGCCTACATCTTCTGATCTGGTCTTTACTGGTGGCAGAGCCTCACAACATGTTTCAGGTCAAGATTAATATTTTCCATGCAGAAGGAATAAGTACAAACCCTAATATCAGCTCTTTTAGGAATGATAAAAGGCTACTTTCAAAATGGAGGCAAATATGACCAAAATCCAATTTTTTTTGCCCCTATGTGACCAGAAATTGGATTTTTCCCCCCTTACAGTCTGAACGTGACACATCCATTTTTTTCAAATCTGACCCAGGCCTTTTCAGTTTGTGGTACTAAATCTGATACATATCTGATGTTTTTCAAAGCAACTACAGTCTGAACGCTCATGACGCATTTTATTCTACTTTTACATCAGTGAGGAGGTGGGCACACGTTTCTACCCAAGTATTTAGAATATTGATACCAACCTTGACCTTTTCGATATTATTTGGCAGGAATGTAGATGTGTCCGACCTACACTGCGCCGGCCAACAGTTTTACGATAGACCCCATATTTGAGGAGGGGGCTTCATCTAAAAAGGTGGTGTCTGAACCTCTGTCAAAAATGCTTTTAACTCAAAAACTATTCATCATAGGAGCTTCAGATTTGTTTTTGTTGTTTAGCTCTGATGAAGGGCTATACATTAGGCCCACCAGTGGGCCTCACCACCACCCTGGACCCCCACCCAAAACAATAAATCGTTCTGGTGAATTCTGACACATTGATGCTTTGCYAATGTGTGGGGATCATATATGTTACTGCAGTCTTAATCCTCTTTGTTCTTGTGTTTCCTTGTCACTTCCAGCTTCTTTCTCCGAACTCCTGGTACTGGTCTTGGCCATTGGAGGTGCTATCGCTGCTGTGGTCCTCGTCCTCATCATCGTTGCATCCTGCAGGAGGTACAAGAGGAAACAGAGACAGAGGCAGRTGGAGGACAATGAAGAGGCCCCCCGTAAAGAGAGAAAAGACCCCACAGTGTGGTAAGACCAAGTGAAAGGCACGATGCAGAAGAGGAGGAAGAATCAGACTCTTTGTCTTGTGTTCGCTGACGGACTCTGGGGATCAGGGCTGGTGGTGCTCCCTCTTGGGGCCTGGGGCTCTTTTCCTGTTGGACATGTCACTCTCTTTCCATTGACAACCGTTGGATTGCAGATCTGGACCAGCAACAGGCAGCTCTTATTAATCAGAAACAAATTAAAAATGCACCTTTGTGTAAAAAGCCTTAGATACTGAACTGTAATCAGACTGCCGTCTAGCCTCTGTAATATTACTGTCCGCTTTTCATTTCTGGAAAAAGGAGTGTTTTATCAGTCCATCTTTTCCTGTTCAGCTAAATGGCATACCAGACACATTTCCTGTTTAGAGTAAATGTTATGAAGAAGTAGAACAATGGTGGATTCCTGCTGTTTATCTTCCTGCTAATACATTTTACTGCAGCGCTGTTTGACATGGTATTTAAAAAAAAAACAATAGAAACAGTGGAACAATGACTGAACACTTTATTGAAGCTTTTATTGAACATTTATGTAACTATTTCATGAAGGAGAACATTATAAAACCATCAGAGGTCATTTCAGTGGTCMTTTGAACCGGCTGTCTGATATACAGTAGTTTGGTGAGGTTTATGTTGGTTTCATTTTCATTTCAAGRCACTACTGAAGTTGTGTCACTGTACTTTTTCTGTGTGTTTCTGTTGGTGTACAACTTATTTTATTGTTTCTGTAATACTGAGTGTGTTATCAGATAATCATCCCTGATGATAAGCACGTGTTTGAAACAGACTGATTTTCACATTCACGCTCAGATTCATGTTAAGACCACTTTTTTTTCCTATCTCCAAAGTGCAATTCATCTTGACAGTTTCTAGATTTARACACACARGCACGCACGCACYCTCATCTARCAATTGAACAATAATTCCTTTATTTAAAAAAATAACAATTTATCAACAAAAGAGAAAATCAACTAAAAACTTTAATTTATGTGGTTTTAATTTTTTTATTTTTTTGCTATTTCTATTAGTCTGTTTCAAACAACGTGTTGTTACTCATCACAAGGAACTTTTTCTTGTAGCTTTGGGTTTTCAGATCTTTCTGTAAAAGGTGCAGCAGCTAAAATTCTGCCAACTCCTTGCAGTAAGAATACAACTTTTTTGCTTTCATTTTGGCCAACAGGTTATTTTATAAAATTTTTTTGTCAATTATCAAATTAAATATTTTTTTGAAAACTTGGAAAGTAAACAAATGTGATGCAGATGTACAGAGCCCTCAAAGCATCGTGTGAAATACGCTGTAAGAATCTAAGAATCTGTTCCTTCAGTTTAGTAGGTGTGGCGGTAAGTTTGGTTTMTCTGTGATTAAAAAAAAACAAAAGTAAACACCTTATGTGAGACAAGGGTGTAGAGACAAATTGCAACATCAGATTTATTWTCTGTATTTTACCAAAATGAAATCTGATATTTCTGAGTCAGARATTTAAGCCTAACCTGCAATGGCAGTGTAAGTTAATCAGGAACATTGTGTTTGTTCGCTGTGTTGAATGTCTTGTTCAGGTTGAAGCAGGACTTGTTTTGTCCTGCTATTAGTTGTAAAATAAACTTTTTTGAGCTTTATATCAAAATGCCACTCCCTCATCAAAAAACATGCACAAAGTGTTGCTTTGACTAATTCACGAATGTTTGAGAAATCCTTGAATCTCCATGTGGAGCTGCCTAAACTCTTGCGGGTACAAAGCACCGCCTATCTGTACAAAGCTCCTCCCTGGAGCTCAGTCTGTAGCCAAGCTCCTGCCCCACAGAGCACCGCCTCCCACATATAACCCGACCAGACTAGCAATACGTATCCTAAAAATGGTGGATGTTCATGATTTCATTGGTAAACTTAGCTTCATAATGATCTATATTCATGGTTTCTTCACAAAAAGTAGCTTAACATTGAGATACATATGAGAGGATAACTGAGAGAAACCTCTTGTAAGAGCCTTTATACTCCGGTTCTTCAGAAAACACACTTTCTGGAAATTTAACCAGTAAATTTACGCTGTCACACAGACCCCATGTGTTTGCTCTGAACAAATTCATTCCTTTAGGATCATGGATGAGATTTTTCATAAACATCTAAGCTATAAATCTGCTTTTTGAATTTGTTGAATTTGCACAATATCAATGGCGTTTTCATAGCATCCTCAGTGTAGTCGGTTGACCTGTGACCTGGAAGAGTTAGGCTCTGCTATTAGTTGTAACTATGAAATGGCCTTTTTTAAGGCATTTAGATAGGCTATGGTACAAAGTCAAATTATTTTTGATATCTACATTGTTTCAGAACAACTGAAGGTAACATAGTTACTTGACTGTGGTACAGAATTCAACTTTGTGCCTGGAAAATACACAATACTCTCACTTTAAATTGGCTGTAGTGTATTGTCTACTTTTCTGCCCTCAGGGGAAGCTGATTATAGTTTAACTACAGTTTGATGGCTTGTTTAGAAGATAATGGGCCTCATGCAAGAACATGTTCGTATTCTTATCCTAAATTTCTCTTACTTTTGTTCGTACAAAGGGTTCGTARGAACATGCCACGTCAGATTCAACAAACTCTTCTATCTGCAGGAAAAGTGTGTAAATGAGCTGCGTAAATTCCACCTGTTCTATCCAGCTGCTCGTGCACGCGAGAGGAGATTAGCATAATTACGACCCCAAAAACACCATTTAAGGCTATGTTTCCTGCCTCAGATACAAGTGTTCATTCATGAAAATGACAGCGAAAACTAAAAAGAAGAACTTTACGAGTTCAGAGATTGAAGTCCGTCTGTCAGAGATCCAGAAAATAAAATCTGTCATTTTTAGCAGGTCAGCTGTGAAATAAAAAGAGCTGCTAAGTATAAACAACTGTGTTAAATCATTTTCATTTATTCAGAAGACACAGCGCTGCGTCGCAGGTGGTCTCAGATGCGGGTTTGAAATAAGCATTTTAAAATGTTTTCAAAATAAGTCTGGCACTTTGGAGAAAAGCCAGGACTTGCTGGAGGGATTGTGTATCCTCTCTGGTCTGGGAACGTCTCAGAGTCCCCCAGGACGAGCTGGAAAGTGTCGCTGGGGAGAGTGGGGTCTTTCTACTGCTGCCCCCGCACCCGATAGCGGATAAGCCGGCCGGACGTAGAATTTATATTGTTAGTCTAAATTATTACATTTAAAATTATAACAGGCCTGGACTACTCGTGAATTTTGTTCATACCAGAAAAAAATCTTAGAATACGAAAACATTGGTGAATGCCACAAATTCTCCTAAATCACTCGTACGCATAATTTAAGAACAAATCTGTGCATACGAACAGTTCTTGCATGAGGCCCATTGTTCTAAGAATTTGTCCAATTATTCAGTGTTACTGAACACAAACAATAAAAATGCTCTCAAACCGAATAATGTCTGTTAGCAAATCTGTGCAAATAGATTAACTAAGATGTGGGGAAAGACTGCAAAACTATTAGACCCAGAGAATGGAGCAACAACCATGCAAAGTGTTTCTTAAACAGAGGAAACATTTGCAATCAAGATAACAAAAAATTGTATGTTTTCTTTTAACTCTTGTGCCTCCCTTCGAGGCCTGTTTTAAAACTGAGGCCTCAGGTCATTTTGACCCAAAGATTCAATTTATTTAAAAACAAACAAAAACTGGGACTTACGATGACTGACCACAGAGTTTGCTGCCGTCATGAGCCTTAAAGAGCCATTTAAATATGTGGAAGTGCCTACAGCAGGTGCAGGGATATGTCCATGAAAATACCTTCAATTATTTGTAAAACAGCTTAAAAGCAGTGATTGCTCTGATTAGAACAGTTTGAATGTAATTTTTCTTTGATTTCATTGGAAAGCCAAACACTTGACGTAAACAGGCACCTTCCCTGAGCGTGACGAGGGAATGCACAGTCAGATCTGAAAACCCCTTTGATTGTAAAATATCCCTGAGAGACTTTTTTATGTCTTTTTTTTTTACCTGTGAATGCATTCCATCAGCCTATGACTGAAATGCCCATCTCTCCTCGTATAACTGATTTTCTACTTGTGTTTATTATGTTTATAATTTTTTCGTTGCTTATTTTTTTTGTATTTTCTCAGAAGCATTTTATTTTGTTGTTGAAAATGGCGACAGATTTATTTGTTATAGAGCTTTTATAAAGATGACTTTCTAATAAAAAAGTTTTTTTTATTCTCACCACATTGTCTCGCTCAGATTTCTGTACACAAAGCAGACAGACAGTTGGTCTTTAAATCAAACAAAACAAAGAAAAAAAAGATCCCTTAACTACTTGATAGTACTCATAAATTATGTAATAAAGTAGTTCAGCATTTATTATGCATCTTTATCTTTAATGCACCATGTCCAGTTATGCATTTATGACTTCTGTCTACAGGGCTCTTCAAATATTTACCTGAAAGCGCGACTGCAGTGAATATCAGTTTAATTTGTTGTGTGTCCAACATGCTAACTCCTCTCGTTCAGTATCGGCTTGCTTGTTTGTGGAAGGCTGACTGTTCATGACTGCAAATGTGTGACTCTATTTATCCGCGCTGTGAGCCTGTTTGTGTGCATTGATCAAAGTCTGCCCCTCTGGGTCTTGCTTTAGTTACTGAATGACAGACTCAGAGTGTCTGCAGAGTTGCATCATTATAAGAAGGGTTTACACATCCCAAAATGAACCATGCTGCTGTTTGTACAAGCAAAAATGTTATATTTTGTTGTAATGGTACACAGTGAGCACTGAACTGATAAAACAACAATCAGAATGCCGGATTATGTTGCTTTTATCGCCAAAAAAGCTGCTGTCGTTATCTGCTCGCAGCACTTGTTTCAGCAATCATCTCTGAATATGGAAATGAACACGCCACCATCTGATCAAAATGTTAGCCTTTTTTTAATCCAGCCACAGAAACAAGCCGACCTTCGACATTATGAAACATTGATTCTTTTTTTTGCCCCAGTGCACATCAAATATTAATTTAAATCAAAGGAAAATGCCCTTTTCTGCAGAGAAAGCATCCTGTGTAGGCACCAGCGGTCTCATAGAGCAGTGTGGAACAAAATCAAAATCTTTAAATTTGTGCTGATGGAGACAAATTGTGCACCTTTTTCATGTCACTCATCAAAACCGACAAAGAAATAAAAAAGAGTATTTTGGAGAAGAGTGCCCTGTTGTATTTCCAGCATTTTACACAGAAGACATAAAAATTTAATCTGTACATTATGCACAATAAAAATATCTTTTTAAAGGGGACTTTAAAACTCTTCATTCATAAGGAAGATTTTGAGTGACTTTAATTGCAAAACAGATGAGTTAAAAAGCCTGTTGTTTACAGAACATCTGTCATTGCATGACCTGTTTCTTCTTCAGGATTAGATAAGAAATGTTGAATGAAGTGTTTTTTTCCCCAGAACTTCACATCATGCTACGTTCACTGTACTGAAGATGTTTTTGGTTTTGCTACTTAGAGCAGTACATAGTTGAAATAATTTAAAACAGATTATTGAGGTCCCTTGTGAAAAGTCTTTTTGAATAATAAAAAAACAAGTTAAAGATTGTGCCTTTAAATAGTCAGTCAGATTTGCAGGGGGGTTATGACCCCCACAATAATCTGATCAAGTCAAAGTAACCCCACCCCCATAAAATGACATCATTTACACACACACACACACACACACACACACACACACAC